TGTACTAGTGTACCATGATTTGTAAATGGCCAAAGGAGCTAGTAACATGGTTGCAAAGATGAATCGGTATGCGGTGAGAACAGAGGTTGTCATATCATTGATAGTCGCGAGTTTGTTGAATATGTTGACAATCACAGAAGACATAGTTGCAAGCAACATGAGAAGAACGGGGAACACCTTCGCCATTGAAGGCGCATGCAAGCTCTGTTTCTACAACAACGTTGAATTGGACCTATTTATAGACTTGGGACTTTGTATCAACCTTCCCTTTTCGCTTTCGATCAGCTAGATTTAATATTGAATAATATTAGAAACTTCGAGAAAGACTAGACTTAGAAACTTCGTTTAGATTTAATATAGACAGTGCAGATTTAATGACTGTGATTACGTCACTATTTGGTTTCTACATTGGTTTCGTCCATTTGGTTTCTGAATGTTTTCCTATGAGACTTAAAAGTTATTAAGTTGCGGTAATCAATTCATATATATTCAAGAGCGCTTTCGCGGTCTTGGATGGAGTCAGATCAGTTGTTGTTATCTCTTCCTCCTTTGTTGTCCCTTTTGTGGTGGCGGGTGTTGGGTCTCGGTGGTTTTTGTTGTTTTTGGTTCGTGGTGTTGTGGTTGTCTTTGCTTTGAAAAAAAAAAAAAAATTCGTATATATTCAATAATTTTTTAATTAATAATCAATGTGGGACAAAATAGATCAACTTAACTAATTATTAAAATCAAAAAAAATTAAGAATTTTAGTAGAGGTAGCATCGTTTTACCTACATCCTAGCAAATATGTATATACGCAAAAAATTTATGTTTCAAATTTAAAAATTTAACTAACCTTCCGAGATAAAATCTCATATGTGAAGAATGTTTTGTTATCTTACCAACTTTAACTAATTTTAAATGTTAATTAAAATTTTGTGAACTATTTCCACCATATTTACAATTCTTGAGTGGAGTATTTATTTCAACTTTAACTAATTTAAACGTAAAGTGGAGAAAAAAAAATTCACTTATTGCATTTGATGATATATAGATTTGTTTCGGTTTCCTTATTATTTTTTTATAAATTAATTGATTGTGTTTTATATTTTTCTTGTCAAATAATTATTAGTGCTGCTATAAAAATAATTAGACTAATTAATAGTAAGAAAAAAATTGAATAATCAATGGCTCAAATATAAATTTTAATTTAAAAATATTTTTAGAAGTCAAACACAAATAATAAAGAAAAATAAATAATAAAGAAAACATAGAAAATATTTTACATGAAAATTTGTTACAAAAAAATATTTCCAAAACCTTTGTCAAATACCAAAAAATAAAAAATAAAGAAAACATTTTATAGGAAAAATTGTTAGAAAATATTTTACACTCAAATAAACGAGCCTAAAAGAAAAAAAGACTATAGATCAAATATTCATTTATTAGAAGTTAATACGGATTGAATTCAACAATAACCTAATCAAATTTGAGTTATACCGATCTAAATCCAAGTTTTAGTGATCTAACATGTGATTATTAAGGCATCCTATATAATACATCTAATTTGGATATCAATGTGAACTTTTATTGAGAGACGTCAGCCCATTTGGTTGAAGTGGCTCTTTATAAATATAAGTATCTGTTTTTATTGATATAGTAATTAAAGATATTGCTTTTAATGTATAAAAGAGAGAAAAATAGAGAAAAATGAAATGGGATCCATATATTACACATGACCATTTTGCTAGCATAACTGACACCCTAAAAAGCACGGACATGAATACGGAATACGAATACGACACGACACGGATACGGCGACACGACAAATTCAAAAAAATTAGGACATGGACACGGACACGGCGAATAGTATATATATATATATATATATATATTCCAACCTAAACATATATATATATATATGTTTAGGTTGGAATATATATATATATATATATATATATATATATATATCAGCATCTTTAGAACACGGACACGACGAATTGTGGCATCTTTAGGTTAGTATATATATATATCAGCATCTTTAGGGTTGTGCAAAACAAAAAATAGAACATATCATCATTAAAAATTTTTTAAAAAAAATCTAGAAAAGTGTGTCTTAACCGTGTCCGAGCTATCTGAGCCGTGTCCGTACCGTGTCTCAGCCGTGTCCGAGCCGTGTCCGAAAATTAAAAAAAATAAAAAAATTCCAAACACGTTTTTTGGCATGTCCGACACTTATTGGGGTGTATCCGACGCGTATCGGACACGAATTATTCGCCCATTTTAAAGTGTCCGTGTTTCCTAACTGACATCATATGACAAAATTGAGGCTTACACCGAATGGCCTTAATGTGGCGAAACATGTGGCCCCCACAATACTGAAAATTGAGGTCTTGGATTATTTTATATGGATATAGTCATCTTTGGCATGTAATCTCCTCCTTCCAACGGTTCTAAAATGTGCATGTCAATTTCAACTCGTGTCACCCATCCAATCTGCTTTTAATTTATGATATTATTAAAATCTGTGGACGGTGGAGAGTTTGGTTGAGAGAATAACCTACAGGTCTTCGAAATTCCTATAGAGTTTTTATAGAATTTTATAGAAGAGAATATTTTGCTTGTTTAATAATAACTTTCTAGGGAGTGAATTTTGTCCCTTCATTAAATTGATTTAAGTTACCCTCTTTGAGGGAGAATTTCTATATATAAGGTCATGACTCAATAATTAAAGTAGATGTGTTTTTAAAAGTTGGGTTGAAATGATGCATTTAAGAAAATTTTAATTATACAAAAAATTCGGAAAAAAATAAATCTTGAAATTAAATACAATAGAAATGAGTGTATGTTTTCCTAGCACCCAAACACATCAAATCGAAAACATGTCAAGAAATTAAATACAATAGACCTGAGTATATACAATAGAAGATAGAGAGAGGGGAGAGAGAGTAAGGGTGTGCTGAGAAATGCAAGTAGTGTGTACTCTGGGAGGCTCCCTTGCCTACCTGTGTAGTTAACATTTCTCAGTGACCCTACAATAAATATAATAATATAACCTAAATATATTTTCTTTAATTTTATTACGTAAAAGCGTTAAACTTTGAGCTTCCTTTACACGTTTATTATTAATTTTTTTCCTTTTTTTTAATTATTCATGTCATTTACCATAACATCTTCATTACCTTTAAAAAAAAATTAAAAATGCCTTGTATAGTATGTCTCAATGGATTAGGCTTCTTTCACCATCTTTCTCCCTATATATTACCTTACTTTTTCTTTGGTAACATATATATTATAAAAGCCCTTTTAATGATTACTGCTGATCGTGTTATTACATAGTCAATTTGAATAAACAGCAGCTCTAACTCTTATGCTTCCTCTCTATTTATTTTTTATTCTCCTTTCTTCCATCAATTAAATTATACTTATGCTTAAAAATTGGCATGGTTTGAAAAATACTTATTCAATTAAATGATTTGATAATTCAAAACTTAAATATCACTAAAAACAGTAAGTCCGAATAAGTTCAAAGGCTCCTTAGTTTTTATCGAGTTTTTGAGTAATTTGGAACAAGAATTTTCTCAATTTTTATTCTGGTATTATAATATCGTTGAATGGGTGATTGCCGGTTATGACCATTCATGTCTTGCTCGCGCGCGTGCACCACACACTTGCATGCAAGTTCCACAAAACATATAGAAGTAGGTATATATGGAGAGTTTGTATATATAGGTAATAGGTATATATGCATGGCCCCGCCCAATAGAAAATATGCTTATTTTTAATTTTATTATTATATTTATAAGATTTTATATATATATATATAATGCTCCAGTTTTTCATTTTTAAAATTATATCCTAAAATTTTCTTTCTTTCTTTCTTTCTTTCCTCTTAAAATTCCTTTAATTTCAAAGTTCACACACACACATATATATAATGACAAAATAGAGTGTAAAAAATAAAATAAAAAAATTATTTTCGTATTGTTGTAAAATAAAATTAATTATTGCATGATTATATATATATATATATATATATATATATATATATATTTAACTACCTCTAAAATATTCAAACAACCCACGATTACAAGGCCCTAAATGAAGAAATTCAACTAGAAAGAATTCCAAGTAATCTCTATTGACGAGTCAAAATTGGGACGAACGAAAAATTTAGGTGTTGTGATACAAAAGATAACAAAAATAATGCTATAACAACAATAATATCAAATAAGCTAATATTTTTAGTTTTTACTTGTTAAATGATATATTCTATAGCTAATTTCATCACACACTGATAAATAAAAATAAATAAGTAAATAAATAAATAAAGCAGAATCACCAGCTTTGCTTTTCAGTAATTTAGGAATTAAGAGAGAGTTTTTTCTTCAGTTAGTTGAACAAAAATTACTAATCTTTAAAATTTTAGCTCTTTGGAAATTTTTTGTATTTATAAGTTGCAAGGTATACTAGCTAAGAAAGCATCCTGTAACTCCCATTTTCCCAACTACTCCACGTATTATTCATTTACTTGCTTCACATGTATCAACTATACACCACTTATGACAATGTTTTCAATTGATTACGTCACTTATATATATGTCACCTAACTAATATATATTTGTGTATATATATATATATATATATATATGTAAGACTTGTATTACAATTAGCACACTGTTAACCCCAAAGATTAGCTCAAGTAATCAAGTCACTGTTTAGAAAGTATTAGGTGTAAAATTTAACTTCTCTTCGAGCACAACTAAGGGGATGTGATGTTAGTACTAATTTAAAAAATAAAAAATAAAAAAAATAGCGCCATGTTGTCACATACTCTAATTAATATATCCTAAATCATAAATCACGTTCAACACAATTACTTCCACAAATTATTATGTGCGATAAAAATCTGTTAAAATTCAGAATAAATTTGTTAAAACGTAATTTAAGTACGTTAAAAACCCTTAACAACATGAGTATTTGATGTTAATATATAACAAGATTAGCAACAACACCACCTATATATGGGAAATTAACAACATGCCAAATTGTTGCTTGTTTGATTTTATGATTTCTTCGGCCAAGCCAATGGGCAAATATTGTACACTCTTGCATAAATAATACATTTATGCAGATCATCATACCTCTATTATAAAGACATATTTATGTTACGTTTGAGTATACCGAATCGACTTTTTGAAACTGAAATTGAAGAAAAATAAAATTTTCTATAATTTTAATTTCAATTTGTCTTTTTGGCGCACTCGAACATAACATTAAACAAGATTAAACTTGAAGAGACGAGTCATTAAGCAATCTGTGTATACACCTGCATAAATAATACGTATTATTTATGCAGGTCATCTGCCATCCATTACAGAAATACATTTATGTTGCAGTTAAGAATACCGAATCGACACCTTGATACACTCAAACACAGCATTAAACAAGACCGAACTTGACGCGATGAGTCATTAAGCAATCTTTGGAAGAGAGTACCTAGAAGATAGGTCATGATGAGTAGTAGTACCCTTGAAAGATTTGTCAACGTACTTAAAAGAGGTAGGGGTGACCTGCACGAAGAGATAGTTCCCGGCGAAGAGATCACCAAAGTGGGACCTACTGTCCTTCAATCTCTTCAAAACCTTGGCCCATGAAACCACAACCAACCTAGCTTTTCTCCTCAAGAACTTCCCCAAGCTTGGAATCCTGACCTTTAGTCTCTTCCTAATGTGCACCTTTCTTGCCCTAGACCAGCTTTTGGCCCTCCCAATGATTCTCTCTCTCAATTCATAATCATCTTCATCTTCAAACGCTCCTTCATGTACTAGTCTCTGGTAGGAAAACTTGGTAGTTGAGGCCATTTTCTCAGAGAGAGAAAGGTGTTTGGTTTGAGAGAAAATTGAGGAGGTCCCAGAGGAGAATATATGAAGAAGAAAGAAGATGATGGATTATAATAAATCTATGATGTTGTTATGGGAGGGCTGATGGTGGGGGGTGGCTAGGTTTACAGAAGCTGTTGAGTGCATTAAATGCAAGAAAAGGTCTGGTTACTGTCCTCACCAATGTGCTGTCAGCTACTCAGCTGTGGATGTTCAACAAAATTTAACTTGTGACTCCACTGTTTCTTGCATATGTCTCTCTCTCTCCCTCTTAAAATAGGGTTTAGTTAGGGTCATAAATTGTGCATTCAGTTTCCAAAATTCTATGAATTATGGTGAATTTGGGACATTAATCTAAGAGTTTGGATCCTGTGCTGTATTGGACGGTTCTTATAACTCTTATGCGTGCCTTAACTATTGCACGTGTGAGTGATTGAACATATGCTTGTATTATAATTGATCCTCCCCGTAATATATATCCCTCAGTGTTTCAAAAAATATTAAAAAAATGAGTAATTAAACAAAAATAACTTTATCAACTTCTAAGGTCTTTGGTCAAGATTTCGACTTGAAAAGAAGGAAAATAAAAAATAAAAAAACTTTATCAATAAGTACAGCTGCTGCAATTCTTCCACATCAATAAATATGTCAAAGCTGGATTACATGGCCTTTCAAGCAAAGCTTCTAGATAACGAACATTACAACAATCACCTGAAGATTCTAGGTAATGGATTCTTTTAACTCCCAAGTTTCACCACAAGGTTTAAAGACACGCGCGTGTGTGTATATATATATATAATTAAAATTAAAGAAAGGCCCTGTAACCATCATTATTATGGCCCAAGGAACACAAATGGTCAAAGGGTTGGGATCATGATAATTTAAGAGACTAAACAAGCCTTTGACTTGTAGTCAAGATCACATAAATTTGCTAATCATGACGGGTTTAGGATAAGTCTTATACGCGTGTGTGTGTGTGTATATATATATATATTCAGCTTATATTAAATATCATTCCGTACTGAAAGTGTCAAGACAAAATTAACATATGGTTATAAATAACTGTATACCTAGAAAATACGTGAAAATGACTGAAATAGTTATTTGAATTAAATGTGCGTACCCACCCATCACATGTAGAGGGTTTATGACTTGTAAGATTATGGATGACCACATTTCAGAGAATATATGATAAACTAAAACTGGGTTGGAGTTCGGTCGCTATCGCATTAATTGATTAGGCTCATTTTTAGAATAAGCTCGTCACACAAAATATTGTTTTGTTGTGATTCAGAAGTTAGGAGTTCAAATAAAAATAAATTTGGTTTTTTTTTTTTTACTTGAACTCAAAGTTCAGGTGAAAAAAAAAAAAAAAATCACTTAAATTTTGAATCATTTTTTACTTTTTATATTTTGAAAAGATACATTATTTTCAAAATTTTGAACAAAACGTATTCAAGGGTGGGTTTGATTTAGGTTTTAAAAAGTCTCCAAAAGCTCTAAGAAGAGAAAATGGTTTTCTAAGATTATATGATAAACTAAAACGGGTTGAAGTTATGCCCCTATCGCATTAATTGATTAGGCTCATTTTTAGAATAGGATCGTCACCTAAAGTAAAATTGTTTTATTGTGATTCAGAAGTTAGGAGTTCAAATTAAAAAACAAGTTTCAGAGTTTGTTTAAATTTACAAAAAAATTAAAAATTAAAACTAAAAAATAAAAATAAATTTGGGTTTTGTTTTTTTCCCTTTAACTCAAAGTTCAGGTGAAAAAAAAACTCAATTTTTGAACCATTTTTTACTTTTTATACATTATTTTAAAAATTTTGAACAAAACGGATTCAAGGGTGGGTTTTATTTAGGTTTCAAAAAAGTCTCCAAAAACTCTAAGAAGAGAAAATGGTTTTCTAAGAACTAAAAAAAGATTGTCATTTTGTCCTTTGTATATGTATTTTGTCTTTTCCATTTTCTATTTTCAGTAAAATGTTGACTGAATTTTCAACTCAAACAACAACTAAATTTGGAAACTTAATTAATACCATACTCTTGGGACTACCTCTGTGGTATTCTCTCGTAAACTTAGAAAGAAAACTAAATTTGTTCGATATCAAACCAAATCATGAAGTATTTTAAGAGACTCGAAACATGTATGCTACGTCCCATCAAACAACATTAAGTTGGATGTTGATCCTCACCAAGCCCTGGCCACCAATTAATGGGTCTTATCCGTGGATGTAAAATGCCCAAGTTGCATTTACTTTTTGGTAGTCACTACATAAATAACTTCAGAGTGCAACAACAATGAACATTGATTATCAAAAAGTAAAAACATGTTTTTTTATGGACTCTCCTGACCACATAAATTGTTCAGATTAAAATATAAATTATAAAAATAGAATAACATCAATTCTTTGTAACTTATTGCAGGTATTTAACCACCTGAACAATATACTTGAATTGAACTATAATGGATAAATTACTGATGAGTAATTTTCATGATGTAGTTCATAAAGAAAAAGACCATTAAGGACCTACCACATTTGGTTCACTGTTGCCCATCTCAATCTCACTAAATAACTTGTGGTGTAGCTGGAACTGTGAATAAAAAACAGTAGTTACAGCACAACCAGAGAGTAAATTGAAAAGCCTAACCGCCAAACCAAACACATTTATAGGCCCCACTACTTAATAGCTATCAATCTTCACAACCTTCATAAAGAAATTATTTGATCATAGGCTGTTTCATCTGTGTAATGATCAAAAACAATTAAATCTAGCCAGTGGATTAGATTTATTTCCACCGGCCATGTCCATCTGTATATTCTTGAACCTGATCCTCTCTGGTGCACTGGATGGTACAGTGATGCGATATTCTGGTTAGCTACAGATGGTTATATGGTCATCGGTTCAAGGACGTAAGGTGACCTTGCTTTATCGGGGTAAGAAGGGGTGGAGAAAATGCCTAAAGCCAACGTTCGAGTACCTGATCTTAACACCTCATACAACACGTATACTTCTAAGTTGCAACACTCGGCAACATATGTTACACCGAGTTACAACACGGCAATACTATTAGATAAAGAATACAACACATTTTCATTAATTTAATATTGTTGCGACCACAATTTTATGATGTGCCATCTTCTGCAATTTATTTTACAAGAAAGTCCAGTAAATGTGTACTGGAGATAATCCTAAACAAAATTTACCTTGTGTCGCATGCAACATTTTGCTCAGGAGATTATTTGAATAGTGTTGCTTGCATGATATAAAATTCAAATCTTAGTTACATATTTCTCGGTTTTCGTTCCACTGAAACACCTTGACTGATTTTTATTTCAGTTCATCAAGTACCAGAAACAAACTACAGCAAAGCTAAACTGTCATACAACATAAACATGCAGAAGAGACCATAGTATCATCCCTAAATTACGTGATAAAAACATAGGTACCACTTCGAATTTATAAACAGCTAGCGGCATAAATTCATTGGCGGTGTCCTTCTGGGAGAGCAACCACCCTGTGAAAGGGTACAAGCCTCTGAGGTAAGGAGCCATCTTCCTCATCGTCATCAAATTCCAACACATAACTGCCCAACAACACATTTGTTAATATGCAAGCCATGGCAAGAAGAAGAATAAGCTGCATTCTAAGGTGACGACTCCCATGAGCGCACATTCTCTCAAAATCACGCATATAAATGTATTTTCCAGAACTATGCAAAACAAAGACCGAAACAAAGAGAGAGCTACTTACTCATCAGTCTTCCTCTGAAATTTGCAAAATCCATCCAGAAAATCGCACAGCGTGCAAAATGCACTAGTCAGTCTCATATAAGACATCAAATAGATTGTAATTAAATTACAGGTGACACAAATCACTATGACTACTCAAAATAGCTGAAGAACGGATTGCCAGGAAACCACATAATAAACTTGGATGCAATACTAAATAAAGATGATGAACAATATACCTTGCGTGCGTGGACTACAGTTGCTTTATACAGTGCAGTTGTTCCTGGATAGACTGCCAAAACATGTCTTCCAGGAAGAAAATCTTGAGCGCCAGAGGGATCATTTCGCTTAGGGAAAGGTATAATATGTGACAAAGGCAGCTTGTACTTTCTGAAATGACCAATACGGTAAAGAACCCATCAGTCATATGCAGTAGCCAGAAGTAGATCAATTTAGAGTAAGAAACCAAATTATTGTTATATGCTTATACAGTCAGGAAGATAAAATAAAATGTTCAATGCATGGTTGCAAGTTTAGGCAATTCGAATAGAAAAAAATTCAGGCAATTCGAAAGGAAATGACATGTAAGATGAAAGCAGAAAGCCCAACACAAAAAAAATGCAGACACAATGAAACGTATGGAGACAAACAGAAAACCAAAAGAGAGAGTTAAAGAAGAATGATGTAAAGAGACAACTGCACAACTCAACCCTAAGATTGAAGTCCATGCTCTGTAATTATGAATAGCAAGGACGTGTGTAAAGGTAATAAGAGAGAAAACACGGCAGAATTGGATATCAGATAACCGTGCACCTCGTCCTCCAAACCTAAATCGTTTGGCCTTCATCGAATATGTAAGTGCAAAATCCTTCCTTTCCCTTTCCCTTTCCCATTCCCTTTCCACTAACAAAACCACCAACATAGGAAGAAAATGTCGAAGATGTTTAATGTTTAGAAAAATAAACATTTGAGAACAAAGGTGTTTGGCCAAGTAAAAATATATTTGAGAACGGAATTTCTTTCTTGCAAAAGAAAAGCTTATTGATTGGCCTTCAGTTTTTGCATTGCCAAATCTCATCAATAATGCCCTTGAGCAACTAGTTGAATCAGCAACCCATCTTCTTCTGCTTTCTAGCATATCATGAACAAAAAACTATATCCCAGCATAAACTCATAAATTGATTTGGATTTACATAATTGTATCTCGAAAATGTTTTACTGATGAAGTTGTGATTTGTCAAACACGATCAGCCCTTTGGAGGGATGCAGTGACAACATGGACATGTGTCAACATGCATTTTGATTTGTTTTGAATAGTGTTATAGAAAAACATGATTTGCATTTCGATCAGTAATACAGTAAACATGATTTGCTGATTCATAAATTAAACCAACTTGAATGCAGTTTCAACACCAGGAAGACAACAACAACTATATAACATCATTATAAACAACAACAACAACAACAACAACAATCAAGCATTTTTCCCAACTACTTGGGGTCGGTAACATGAATCATATGTTTCCATTCCACTCTATTTTGAGGCCATAGCTTCAGTCAATCCACATGCTATCGTATATTTCCTTACTAACTCTACCCACGTTAACGTTGGACTTCCTCTTCCCCTAGTATTAGCCTCGATGTGGACTATGTCACTTTTCGTGACCGTCAAACTTGAAGGTCTTGTTTGCACATGTCCAAAGCATCTTGACTGATTTTCTCTCATTTTATTTCCAATTTGTGCTACTCCAACCATCTTCCGAATGTGATCATTTTTATTTCTATCCTTTCTAGTCTTAGTACACATCCACATATCATCATGCATCAAAAAACCAAAGTCACAAAACAATTTAACACTTGAGGTAAGTAACTCAAGTGTGATCGTTTTATTTCTATCCTTTCTAGTCTTAGCACACATCCACATAACATCATGCATCAAAAAGCAAAGTCACAAGACAATTTAACACTTGAGGTAAGTAACTACATGCAGATGTAACTCATGTATCACAAGTTCACAACATATAAGTATGAGCTTGCATATAACAGCATGATGTGAAAAAAGTTAAAGGTATAACAATTGAGACAGTAAGTCAACCTAGAGAAATACATATAGCTGCAGAAAAAGATTACCTCTGGCCACCAGGCTCCTCATCATCACCTGGTTCCTCATCAAGTACTTCAAATCTGCATATAGAGATATATTTGGACATATAAGGATTTAACAGATCTCAAAATGAAGTAAAGGTGGAGTATCCTTCATCTTGTTCCATCACTATACAGTAACAGCAGAAAGTATGTCCGACCTTATTTTTTTGGTAAGATGTTTTATGACCTTCTCAGTTAAAAAAATTACAAACGGCCGATTACAAAGAGATGGTTGCAGTGAAGAGACAATACAAGGTGAAAAAAAAAAAAAAAAAAAAAAAAAAAGCAAAATATTTCCAATTTCCATATTTGTAGATTAGTACTAGTTGGGTTGCAGCGAATAGAGAATAAAAGTTAAAACCAGAAAGAGTATTTTCCATACTCGTAGATTAATAATAATTGTAAGTTGTAACATAACACAAAATTTGTAATTACATATGGAATACATCATATCACCACCCAAGCCACATGGCACAGTATGTGTGTAGTGATTAAAAAACGAAAGGCAAAGACTGGTAACCTTGTTCATGCATTCTTGATTCCACTCTCTTAATACCAAAAATATGTTTTCTTCTACTAGATCAAACAACATCAAATAATAAGAAGAGAACAACCAAAGCCTCTATATTTATTTATTCCATATACCACTCATGTACCGCATGACATAAGTAAACAAGAAGACAAAAGAAAATTTTCACTTGGATAAAAACATAAATCTTTATAACAATTCCAAAAGTTAATCAGTCCTCTGATCTCTATGGCCCATACTTAAAACATAGTGACATTTTTGTAAGCTTTTTTTGGGGAGTTCGGATGATACAGTATAGGATCAAACCAGGATTCATTATAAAGTAATAATAATAATAACAATATAATATTTGGATTCATGGGAGAACTAAATTCCTATAATTATGTATAATAATCAGCAGCAGCCACCGCATATTGATATGACATGCTAAACTGATTTGTCCAGGGACCATATCAACCAGAAATGTGAGAACAGTATATGATATAATGTGATCTGTGCTCTATCAGTTATAAAATTAAGCTATATAATTGCCCTCATTCCAAATATCTATATATAAAAGGAAACAGAAAAAACTGAAGCTGATTGGTGAAATAATACTTACTCTCTTGTCTCCCTATCAAAATGAGTTACTTTAACAACAAACCACTCATCTTTCTCAGCGTCTTCTGGTGTGACCCTAGCGGCTACCTGAAAAATATAGACGTTAAAAACAGAAATATAGTATGTGCTTCCAGCATAAAAATTATGACGGAATTGCGTGAAGTACATAAACATGTAAGAAAATGGAAATGATTAAACCAAGATCAATAAGAAAAGATTGGATGCACTATTTAGAACAACAAACAGAAAGGTTATTGTTATAGAGCTTGATGCATACTTGTTCACCCTTGAGACCATCGAAGTGGTTTCGCACAGATGGAGAAAGCCTTGAGATATCTGAATCAGCCTTCATCCGTTTCTTTTTCTGTTCATTACCTTCTGCAACACGGGCAATTTAAATTTTTTTTACAGAATCTAATACAGCAACACAAACACTAAGTATTGAAGATTCAAAAATTACAACGCTACCACTATACTTAATTCTAAGGCAGAAAAGGCAAATATCTACTCATTGGGAGAGCTGTGCAATTTGAGCAAACATTTCTTGCCAGATTAACCTAGTTAAATAAATTTCCTAGTTCAAAATCTATCTGAGCAATCATGTTGTACACAAGAAAAACCCAATCACGAACCAAATTTATTGTTACTGCACAGCTATCAATTAGATTAACAATAATGAAACAGTCAATCTGAGTGAGGACAGCAAAGAAGATACATCATGGAAATATAAATTAGCACTGTGCTTTAATTCATGGATCTGTCTTTTGAATTATCTGCCTCTCAAGATACCCTTCACTGGATTCTAGTCTTTTGGGACAAGAGAAGAGTGTAAAGGTTACAGGTAAAGGAAGGGCAGAAGAGGAAATATTTGAAGAACAAAAATTACATGCGAATCGCAAAGTTCTTAAAGATGTCAATGGAACTCCCAGGCGCACGACCATCAAATAGGTATCAGAGATGATAGTTGTTTGACTATTTTAACTACAAATATAATTGGTAAGTAAACCAAACCTAGAATGTAAAACTCAGATGTGTACCATTCAGAATACAACGGTAACAATATAACTGTAATGATTAAATGAAACAGAAGTACGAGGAAAATGGAATATGCATTCCTAGTCATATTGACAAGAAAACCAATTTCCTAAGAGCTAGGACAACAATGAGCTGTGCGTCCATTGTGCAAATCTTAAAAATAAAAGCTTACATCCAACACTAATTTTTAGTTATAACACACACCTATCCTTCTGCGTTGTTGTCCTGGAGGTCCAGAAGGCATCAGAGCATCCAGTTGACCTAATAACTGAGTGGATACGCTGCAACAAAGCAAAATAACATCAGTATGGTTTGGAAACAAATATTTTATTCAAATTTGAAAATAACATAAGATAAAAAATGTCTTATTCAATATGAAAACAACATAATATCAAATGAACTGTATAAGGAGAGGACTAGCCTCAATTGAGTAAAATCAAAAATAAAACAAGAACAAAACATTGAACACAGACCCCAGATACTAAATAGTAAATATATATCTTATGACATTTATTAAAGGAGTGAAAAGCAAAAGACACGCCAGGAAAAAGAACATAAACATCACCAACAACATCAAAAATATAGATTAGACATACGTCACTTCACTTTCTGAATAGTCTTTAGCTTGAGTGTATAAAATCTTAAGCCTCGATAATGAATTTTCACCAAGTTTCTCAACCACCTCAGGAGCTGTAGCAACATGCAAAAAATCAAAGATATAAGATACCAGCTGTAATAGTTTTGTGAGAAAACATTGGCTCGTCAAATAACACAAGAAATGGTTGAAGGAAAGCAAATAGTCACAAAAAACATATTAGATCATTTCATCCCAGTAGTTGGCACTAAATCTACTGAGAAGAAAGAGACAAGTGTTGTAAAACCTCAATTTAGTCGATTTAATAGTGGGAAGCTCCAAAGATTATCAAAAGAACTAGGCAAACATACATACAGAGAGGAGAAAGCCTCAAAAAAGTAATATGAATGTCAAACCTAACTGTAAAGTTTAGACTTAAGGAAAGAGCATGTTCATGAATAACAGGAGAAATTATTTAAGCAAAACAGGCATCATTTATTATTTTGATCCATTCTCAACCCCAGTGTTATATATAGCTCTATATCTACCTAACAAAAAAAAAAAAACTTACAGTGGTTAAATAGGAATAACACAGCTTAATGTAGTTGTATAACCTTTAAAATTGATATTATGCACAGTCAATCAATCATATAGAGGAATCAATGAGAAGAAAATTATTGAAACAGACCTACCAAAAAGATATTAAAAAAGAGAAATTATGCTATGAAGTCAATCTCTTGGACTTCTTTTGAGATGGGAAAAAAATAGATGTGTATGCTAGAGGTAAACAAATTCACTATTGCACTACTTGATCAAGTCAAAAGTTCAAAAAATCAACCAAGCTAACATGTTCTTTTTCAAAATAGAGGCTGGTTGAGCAAGAAATCAGAAGCTAAAATATCATAATGTAACCAAGACAACTTTTCACATTTCTAATGCTATGCTAATGATCTATATTACATGGGCACTCCAAAATATGTGAATTAGCAATCTGAAGCCTATTTGCATATGGGTGTGAGGTATATGCCTGACAATATATGCAGTTAACAGGTGTCCAAAAGGGGAAAATTACACAAGGAATAGCAAGGTATCGATCAAACTTTACCTAAGCCACAAGACAATCTGAAGCAAGACTATCAGAAAGAACCAATGCTAAGGGGTCATTAAGTCATGAGATACATGACAAAAAGGAAATGATGGCTATTACACAAAACTTAATAGTCGAGTCTTTGATGTCTTTTTCTTTTTCTTTTTCTTTTTTCTTTTTTCTTTTTTCTTTTTCTTTTTCTTTTATTTTTGGGTTAGGGAGTCCTCAAAGTTGAATCTTCAATATATCATGCTTTACACTTCTTATATTTTTGTTATATTTTATCTTTGTTGTCTTCCTATCCATAAGAAAAAATAAAAATACATGGACAAGATATGGTATTCAGAACACCATGGGAACAACTGAACAAGCAATCAAGCATATGTATTACCACTAGGAAAATGATACATCCTCCAAATTCGGAGGATGCCAAATAGGTTGTGTGTGAGTGAGGGCCGTGCACAACATGACATCACCCACCCACACCCCCACTCACATACCAACTATTCGGCAGTCACTGCTCTTACCACTAACGTGTCCCACCAGCTAATTTGTTTGGTTTTTCAACAATTATAAATATTCATGTCAGTTTTTATTTTGCAATGGTTCCTTGCAGCTTTTATTTTGCAATGGTTCCTTACTTATCAAAAATTTAATAAAAATAAAAAATTTGCAATGGTTCCTTATATGGATATTCATGTCAATTACTTGACATGCATGGTTCTTTTTCTTTAAACCCATTGCAACTGTTTTTGAAACCAAATATGCAGATTCAATAGGCATATCATAATTTTAGTGTAATAAGTTTCCCAAGTTATAATAAATGTGACTTAAGGTTCGGTAAGGTAAATTTTGAGTGAGGAGCAGATGAATAAATGTGTATACCTTTGTGCCTCATTTGAAAATAGACCTGAAGGTTCAAGCCTACTCCTGGTTGTCATGGGACTATTCCTTTGCCCTCTATAATATAGGTCAGCACATTACTTTTTTCCAATCCTTTTCATTTTTTTTTCTTAATATGTAAATATCATACTACCATGCCCCAGTTAAGACTTGAACTCTGCACTTTTCACTTTCAATGCGGTATGAAATATCCCACAAATTTATCAATCATGAAACAATAAATTATTGAGAACTCGGTGCATGGTGGATAGTTAAAACAGATACCGAACGTTGTCATGTATGTAATGTTCTAAGAGAATGGACGCGGGCACAAGACATAGTTAAACGATACGACGTGGATACGCAGAAACATCAAACTCTAAAAAAGTAGGACACGGACACAGCTAATATAAATATAATTTTTCATTTAGATATCTACTGAGAAAGGCAATAATAGAACATCAATTAATTTATAATTTATATATTAAAGTTACATAAGCTAAAAATTTGAAGCTATTCAAATATCAACAAAAAAATATTATATTATATATAATATGATTATTCTATCTTGTCATTATAGTTATGTTTTATTAATTACATATTTTGACATGTATTTAATGTCAATTGTTTTAAGGAAAAGGAGGGGGGACACTTTGAACGTATGTGAATAATGTTGTTTCTAAGACTCTCACGTGACTCATATGTCCGAAATGTATCAACCAAATGTCTGAGATTTGTCGGCCAACTGTCCAAGATGAGTCTGTCAAGAGTCCAAAACCATAAAAATTATTTTTGACAAGGCTATAAGCGTTGATCATGTGTCCAGAGTCTCCAAGAAGTATCAGTGTCGGACACAAACAAGACACCATTATAGAAGTGTCCATGCTTTTTAGGTAATATTAGTAACTCCGAATATGGATCCAGATATGGGAAAATGAGCATGCACAATGATGAAGCATCTATTTGCTCAATCAGTTATTCTCTTCATATTGATTAGAAGTTACTACTGAATTCCATATGATTTATTTCCCCACAAGCAGCATCCTTGTAAAGCATAACCAGAAAGAAGTCCCTTTTCTGTCTTATTCCCACACTTCTCTTCCACTTTTGAAGAGGCAAATTCATATAAGCAATCATTTTTTTGTTTTTTAAAGTTTGATATTATAAACTTCAATCAATCAATCAATCTAGAATAAAATTTGCAAATAAACTATATCTAATTGTGAACTGTATATAAAAAAAGTTCAATTTTGTTTTTTAGTTCTTTTACCTAATGAAAATTTGAACTTGAAATAAATGCACGTTTGTCAACTTGAGGAAACAGAAGACCACAATTAACAAATACCCAATCACATGTTTTTCATAAATGTAAAACAAATATATACATACTCAAAGATTGAGAAATTCAAACAAACAGTTATGACGATGGTGATGATGGAGTGAGGTGTATGATTAAGGTGAGACTCACTGGATTGCAGCTTCTTGTGTATCTTATTGATCTCGAGGAGCACATCCTCCTGCTCTTTCCTCAACCGATCGAGCTCCCTCGAGTTCTCTAAGATTCCGGGGATGTCGGGCGACGACATTCTTCGCTTCCTCGGAGATCGTGTCGACGGATGTTTCTAGAAGCTTCTGGAAGTTCCGACAATACGGCTAGTGTCTGATCATTTATTCGAGCTTTTGAAGCGATAACAGAGGGATCGGATGGAGAAAGAGAGGGCTTGATTAATCAATTCGATGGCCTGAGAATTTTCAGTGCGATTTTCTGGAAACTTTGGGTCTGCGAAGAAGGGAAGGATTTTTATTTTATTATATTTATTTGTTGTTTAATATGGTAGTAATAGGGGAATCTATCGTTTGATTTTTTTTTTTTTGGTTCGTTTTTTCTTTTGATCGGAGAGTATATGATGCTTGGCACGTGGCGACTGATAAGCTGGAGTGTGGTACTTTGCAACAATACCTCCACGTCATGATATCATAAAATTATATTCCTCAATAAAGTAAAAATGATTATGGTAATTTGCAATCACACGTCAAATAAAACAGGAACGTGAAAACAGTAAAAATATAGGTTAAGTGGGAAGGACGATAGCAGAAGGCGTGGAGCGTGAGAACTCATTTAGAAGAATTATGTGGTTTAGTTCACAACATTGAGGTTTGTAAAGGCATATAATTTAGGAGAGCGTGACCCAATTGTCTTTTGAATTGACCAGTTAAATCATTAAAATACAATATTAGCTTTAATAAGACTTTTTATTACCAAAATGATCCTTAGGTTAAAAAAAAAAAAAAAAAAGACCTCCACCACTGTGGCCCGCCAACACCATACGAACTTATAAATTTTTAATTGGGGAAGCCCAACTAGTAATATAAAATTAAAATTTTAAAATAATAAAATCATTATAAGAAAAAATAAAAAATGGCATGTTTAATGCCCTTCTTAAAATAGATGGATTAGTTATATTGTCTCAAAAATATGATTTTTAAATATATACATATTTTTTATTTTATAGTAATATATTAAACATTAAAAAATTATTTTAATATTTAAATATTAAATATCACCTTTAAGTAATCAAGTTAATCTTTTCATTTATTAGTATTTACTGAAACATTAATAACTCGGATATAAAAAAAATAAAAATAAAAATAAAAAATAAATTTAATAACACAACTGTTACAACTTACAAAACTTTTTTAAGAAAAAAAAAAAACTTACAAAACTTGTGTTTCTATGAAAAACAATGTCCAAAAGAAATTTTAATATTTAAATATTAAATATCAACTTTAATCAAGTTAATTTTTTTATTTATTAATATTTACTGAAACATTAATAAATCGGATAAAAAAAAAAAAAACATTAATTACACAACTGTTACAACTTACAAAACTTGCGTTTCTATGAAAGACGAATGTCCAAAAGAAAGAGGAGATGGGCCCATTCTACGTGCAGAGGCCACATCTCCAATCGTTCTCGATCTCTATGAAGTGTATTTTGGGTGTGAAAACCCTCCTCTTAATTATACTTAATAACTTCTAATAAGCATGATTATTAATTTTGATTGGAAGGAGTCAAACCCAAGAATTCCTTATAAAGGGTAATGACACTCTGGCCCACTCAATCGTACGATTGTAGTTGAATAATTCATATTTGCATGACAAATAAATAAAATAGTAAAATCTCTAGAGAGACCAGCTCAAATCAAAAGCCACCAATTAAAACCAACATCATTTTTCAAAAGTATTAACTAAAGACAACAAATTTTATTTCATGTGCTCACTCACACACTTAGTTTCCCTACAAGCGACACAGATTTTTGACACCACCCAAAGCTTGACCGTTCCTTCGATGACCTGTCAAACCTCTCTTAACATAGGAGAAGAGACGTCAATTTTCTCTCAGCATGATTTTTTCTCGAGAAAATCAGGACATCATTTTCTTTGAAAACCTTACCGTTAAATCTGTTTGTTTCTTCTTCAGCTATAGGTTCTATTACTCGAAGACGAACCACAAATAATAAACTACACTCGTCCCCATTCGATTGCACAAAGCCTCGGAGATTCGGAGGTTGCAGCTCTCAAGATTCGAAGGCTTTGAGGTTCATTCTAGGGTTTTCTCAAGCGAACACATTGTATTTTCCATTCCACGTACGTTAACGATTAAATTGTGTATATATATTAGTTTTTAATTATTTAATTGTTTTATGTTGGTTATAAATCTACATTTACATATATGTACATATATGAAGCTTTTGATGCTTGAGGATAGTTCATAAGTTTACAATGTCACATTATCTCGGGTTTGAGCGTGAAATGTCATGAACTAACTAGTTGTCTGCTTTATGCTTGTGTGTGTAATATTTAATTAAATATATGTATTTGTGTTTATATGTAAATGTATATGCAATATATGTATATGGTTCATATTAAAATTATATGAGAGTTTGATTCGTTTTAAATGAATTTTGGTACGAAATTTTAATATATAACTTTTCAACAATTCATTTTTAAATTGTTAGATGAGCCCAAATGGTAGTGATTTTTTACAATAGTGATTTGTTGTTATAAGAATATTAGGTTTTCGCGGTTCATGTCTCCAGAGACTCTGGTACTACACACAAGCCTCCCTCCAAGTTTTTTACTTTAATAGAATTACTATCTTGAAATGCATTTGATTTGTTAAATTCAAATCCTAATATTGTTACATGGATTCATCTTTACAGATTCTGCTTCAAGAGAGAGTCCCTTGTTGGATAATTATTTAGAAGTTTATGAAGATTTATGTAATTCAAAACAGGTTTGTTTTTCTTAAATTAAAGTCATCTCAATGAGAAAAAAGAAGGAAAAAAAAGGGTACTCTTTCTGATTTTTATTGTTTTTTTCTCATATTTGTATGTCAGGTAGATCTCATTGGTGAGGCCTTGACAGGAAGTTCAATCAGAAAGGTTTTAGTGAGAGAGGCGAAGAATCGGGCTGCCAGGACTGTAATTGTGGGGATCAGTAAGCTAAGCCCTCTCGGGTAAGTGTAGCAATAGCATTGTTTTACTTTAATGTTATTACAGTCCTGGCAGCCCGATTCTTCGCCTCTCTCGCTAAAACCTTTCTGATTGAACTTCCTGTCAAGGCCTCACCAATCGATTGTAGTTGAATCATGACAAATAAATAAAATAGTAAAATCTCTAGAGAGACCAGCTCAAATCAAAAGCCACCAATTAAAACCACCATCATTTTTCAAAAGTTTTAACTAAAGACAACACATTTTATTTCATGCGCTCCCTCACACACTTACTTTCCCTACAAGCGACACAGATTTTTGACACGTCTATATCACCACCCAAAGCTTGACCGTTCCTTCGATGACCTGTCAAACCTCTCTTAACAGAGGAGGAGAAGAGACGTCAATTTTCTCTCAGCATGATTTTTTCTCGAGAAAATCAGGACATCATTTTCTTCAAAAACCTTACTGTTAAATCTGTTTGTTTCTTCTTCAGCTTTAGGTTCTATTACTCGAAGACGAACCACAAATAATAAACTACACTCGTCCCCATTCGATTGCACAAAGCCTTGGAGATTCGGAGGTTGCAGCTCTCAACATTCGAAGGCTTTGAGGTTCATTCTAGGGTTTTCTCGAGCGACCACATCACGTACGTTAACGATTAAATTGTGTATATATATTATTTTTAATTATTGAATAGTTTTAGGTCGGTTATAAATTTACATTTTTATGAACTTGATCATTATACATATATGTATATATATGAAGCTTTTGATGCTTGAGGATAGTTCATAAGTTTACAATGTCACATTATCTCGGGTTTGAGCGTGAAATGTCATGAACTAAATAGTTGTCTGCTTTATGCTTGTGTGTGTAATATTTAATTAAATATATGTATTTGTGTTTATATGTAAATGTATATACTATATATGTATATGGTTCATATTAGGTTAGCTATAAGTTCACATTGTTTTGAACTTGATCATTACAGCATATGTGTAAAATCAAATAAGTACTTCCATTAGACAGCTATTGGTGAAAGAGGATAGGTCGTCTTTTCTGTTAGTACTTTACAATGTCACGCTAGCTAGGGTTTAAGTGTACAATGTCATGAACTAAATAGTTGTCCACTTCATATATTGAGAAGTTATTAGGTAGTCTGGACCAATCAAAACGCCATGCAACCAAATGTGTCACCTTTGTTCAACGTAATAATTTCTCATAGTCTAGTAGGGTCTCTAAGAGAAGACATAATGCATAATATGAAAGAATGGAAAAAAAGAATTCATGTGGCCTACACCATCCATATAGGATAAAGGCAAGGATGATGATGATGATGATGCTGTGAGATCAATTGAAGTTGTTGATGATAGGTGATCGATGGTTTGCCTGTTATTTGGGGTTGTTTCTATGTGCAATTTGAAGGGGTTTTTCTAAGAGGATCTAATAATTGCATAAGAAGAGATATACTTGTAAAGAGCAGAAAGCGTGGGACATGTGGTTGTCCGCTCATGATTTTGTATTGCTATCTTATGAATTTTCGTTTGCTCTGTTCTTTTTTATAGTTTGTTTACCTCTGCATAGACTACATTTAAATGTATATGAGCATTAGAGGAAATTCCTGGAATATATTATTTTTTTCAGGTTTTGTGAGTTTGGTATGACTCTTTTGGGTGGGTGAGAAATGTCTGCCAGAGGAAAGTGCAACTATTGTTCTGTAGAAGGAAAATAAGAACAAGTGGTATTATTTTTTGGTTGGTTTTATTAACCTGCCCTTTTCTGTTGAAATGTCTTTATGACATTATCTGCATAAGTTGGCAATTCAGTTACTATTTTGGTTAGTTTTTTAAGTTAGATTATGTTCCGTGTATATTCTAATTGTGGGTTTCACCCAATGGAATAGAAATATCTTGAAAATCCCAATTTATGTAGTGAAGAAAACCTCCAATTGCATGCAGTTTTTAAATTTTTTCTGCTGCAGTATGTGGTTCAGAAGTCATTTTGATTCTCATTCTGATCTATGAACGCATGTGTTCCATCGGTCATATGTAATAGATAAGATAATCGTTGATGTCGACTCGGTTCCACTATCCTTGTTCAGCAGCAAATTCCTCACTGCATACTTGTAATTATTTAAAGCCAGGGGTAGAATTCATGCAAAAGGATTGAGCAGAGTTATAGAATCCCCTGTCTTGATGTAGCCTGCTAAATATCTAGATGTCAGCATGTTTGACTTCTGCTTCATCATTGTTTTATTGAGATTTGGAAAAAGTGTGACATAGGTTTAATCAGCAGTTTATTACTTTCTTCTTCTTAGGGTTGTCCTACTACCATGAGGGTAACCTTCTCTGTTCTGGAGCTCTGGAAACTTCAACCTTGAATAGCATGTGGGCCAGCTATTGCTCTCCAAGTTGCATCTTCTATCTTTTGCGATTCTGGAATCAGAGATTGTGACTAATATGGGATTGCTTAGACGCAGGTTCAGAACCTTAAGCAATTTAATTTCTTCACGAGTAAAAGCTTTGTTTACGGGTGTTCTTGTAATACCTTTCGTTATTCAAGCATTTACAACTCTATAAAATTTTTGATAATTTTAAGTAGCATTGTTTTGTGTATTTCTAACCTCTTCTTTTGGTTGCATTGAAATGGTAAGAAGACCCAATGAGATAATGAGGCTTGTTATAACAACTGTTATTGGGGTTGTGTTTGGCTTCTTTTTTGGAGTATCCTTTCCAACACTCTCATCAAATAAGGTACGGAATATTGTCTTATTGTTTTTATTTTACTTTTTTCAATATCTATTTATATGAATATGATATGCTTTTCTTTGTTTCTTCTTATTTTCATTTTTTTTTTTTCAAATTTCTTTAGTTATACGTTGTCTTTTTCATTGTTTACTGTCCCAAAAAGGTCTAATCTTTTTGTTTTTATATTTGATAGGTGAACCTATCCCCTAGTCTTTCTGCTTCCATTAATACTTCTCACATTGAAAGCAAGTACTCAGGCATCTCAGCACATGCATTGTTGGAAGTCTTTTCTTCTCTGAAGGAACATAGAGATAACTTGACTCAAGTTCACAGTAATGAAACAAAGGTAGATTTTCTTTCATTGATTTGAGAAAGAGATCATGGAACTTCTAAAAGTGCTTTATTCCCATTTCTGCCGTACTATTGCTGCTCCACGAATAGAAATTCTCTCTCTCTCTCTCTCTCTCTCTCTCTCTCTCTCTCTCTCTTCTTTTTTCCTTTTCTTTTGAGGCAGATTGGGGCTTGGGGGAAGCCATTTTTTTTTACTTGTTAGCTCATATTTCTGGCACAATCAATTGTAGAATTTTTTTTCTCAAGCGATCTGGTCGAGCCCACTTTTGGGCAAACACAAACACAATACTCTGGTGCAAATTCAAGTTTTGTTTTGCCTCCATACTTACTATTGGAAAAGTATTGTGAACATAGTGCTCTCTTGTGTTTGTAAATAAGTCCAAAAAGAAATGGCTGGATTCTTACGGAAGTTGCAGTTTATGCTATGCACTGCTTTATGAGTTGAGGAACAGAGAAGTCTCCACACAAAGTTAGACTAGTCGTAGAAAAATGTATGAAAAATTCAATAGAAGAAAATAAATTTATCAAAATTAAAATACCAATTCATAGCCCAAATCTGGTTGGAAAGAATTGAACAATTAAAGTTGGTATGAAAAAACCTTCACTATACATGGTCAAAAAATTCCCAGTTGCCTTAATCTCTTCTTATCAAAAATAGGTGCATGGGTAGCTGATTTCACAAACACTGTGTTTGGCGACATGGAATTGGAGCCTTGGAATTGGGGGAATTGGAGAAAGTTTTGGTTCAATTTTCTAAGTTGCTTTTCTCCAATTCCACCAATTCCAATTCCGAAGTGTATCCTTGATGCCAATACACTTGGCATTCTCTATCCCATCATGTGCACCCCTATAAGGATCTGCATATCACATCACAAACTCGCTGGACACGTGATTCTCCTATTGACACATGAATTTGTGAACAACCTCCATTCTTCATTGAAGAACATGTGCCCCTTGGTCCAACCATGCAGTGTCTGGAACTAGGACTTTGTCAAAGGGGTCAAGCAAGATTCTCCATATATGACTCATCATTGGCAAGGGCTTTATTTTCCGTCGTGCCCTCTTTGGCGACATATCTCCTACTGCATGGTGCCATATTTCTATTGCACACGGTCAATTATCAATCTCCATTTACACACTTCTTTCCAAATTGGGATCTCCATTGTCTCACTCTGCCCATCAAAAGTCCTATCTTGATATCTTGGTGAGCATGTAACCCTGTCACATTTTATGCCTGCCGAGTCAAGAGTAGGGTTGAGGAGTCTCGAGCTTGATGCAAGGCCACAAAGTGACTTCTGGATTTTTCCATGGCCCACCTGGGATCCTAGAGGTTTGTTGCTTGCCAATTGAAACCAAAGGTTCTCTGAGGTGTGCTTCCTTCACAGTTTAGACCTTGGCTTGATTTAGAGAAGAGTGATACCACATGACCATTGAGAAAACACGGACATGATATCATGTGCACTCATGCCTCTTATATACAAGGGAGTGATCCCTATCCCAGTTTTAGGAACAATAACAAGAGAACACTGGATGGATTTAGTTCCTGTCTTTGTAACTGGAGCATATTTTTTAAGAACACCATTAGGAGGGTGATACTGACCTTGGAGTTCTCCTGAATTATTCTATCACCACCACTTACTTTTGTCTCCTAAGGTCGGCTTAGTTTTCACTCTAGTTATTATTGGGAATTCTGTCATCCTTGCGTGCAATACCTCTTTTACTATGACAGTACAACAAACACCCAGAGGTGCTACCTCTAACTCCTCACAGTGGCATTTATTTTCAAACCTACCAGGTGCTACTGATACTGACCTTGGAGTACTCTTGGATTTCTCTGCTACTGCCAAACTCATTGACTTCTTGTACCTTACATCAATATAATAGTGGTAGACTCTATGTTTCTGTGAGGCTCTTGTTGTGATTGAAAATAGAGGTCCAGTACGGTGTTAAATGATCAGTCAACACGGAATATTTTGAGAATGTAGAATCTTTCTTTGTAAATCAATGGGTAATGCATAAAGATAGGTCCATGAATTTGTATTCCCTTTAAATTCCAACACCGTGCTGGACAGCTCATATCTAGGTTGAGTTATGACAATCAACCTGCGTACCTCGGTTTTGTATGATAAATGGGAAATGTAATGTAGTTTATCAATTCCGAACTTCTAGTCATTGAACTTTCCCTTTTGTTAGTTATGTAATATTCAAAAAAACATTTGCAATGACCTGTATTCAATATGTAATTTTTTCAGAGATCATTGTTTATAACCTTCATGGTTTTCAGTTATAGCATAAACTTGTAGCTTTGATTATTTGATTGCAGATTTGGATCCCATCGAATCCTCGGGGTGCTGAAAGCCTGCCCCCAGATATCATTGTACCTGATTCAGATTACTATATCCGCAGATTGTGGGGTGAACCAAGCGAGGTGTGTTTCCACTACCGACTTGAGCGAAAGCCACATTTGATGGTTTTTTTTTTTTTTTTTTTTTTTTCTTCTCTCAGTGGTACAAGAGAAATTTTGCACCTGAGGCAAATTTAATATCTTAGGAATATCAAGAACATCTTGCATGTGCAATTGTTTTTAGCTTGACACGGATTTAATCATAGATGGCAGTCAATCACAAGAATTGCTAACTTTGGTGGGGGGAGAGAGTGGAGGAAAACTGTTTAGTGTGTTTGTGGAGAGCAAGCATTAAGAAATAAAGATTCATTTGATATTCTAGATTAGAATCATTAGATTGACATGTAAGCACAATAAAAAATATATATATAATTTAATGTATTAAAAAATCATTTTAAGAAGCTTCCAAAATTGGTTAGGCATGTAAAGAGAGGCAATATATTTGACTACCTTCTTTTTCTTTTCAATTCATGTTCATCCAATTATATATTCCTTCTTCCTTCCTGCATAATATATAACATGCTGAAGAAAGATAAGATGGTTCCAAATGGTCTGTTAGACATCAGACGCAGAGAATAAAAGGTGTAAGAAGCAAACGTACTTTGAAAAGTTTCATGATAAAAAAGTTTCAATTCATTAGTGAATAGTTTGGCTATTGCTACAACGATGACGTGAAAATAATTGCTAAGATTTAACTTTTTCTTGTGCCTACTTAATCTTCTCGGTTGTCAGATACTTCCACTTTTAGACATAGCTAGAAGATCTGTAATTTTGGTGCTGTTTGAATGTTTAATAATTTATTAATTTATTTGAATAATTAATTGATTAATAAAACAACTTCTGCAGGACTTTACCATCGAAAAAAAATATCTTATAGCATTCACTGTTGGTTTTGACCAGAAAGACAACATCGATTTAGCAGTTAAAAAGGTCAGACTAAACTCTTGTTTCCTTCCCGCTCCCTCTTTTCCTCTCCTGTGTCTGCACACATGCGCTCTCACTCATGCTACTTAACATTATTGCAGTTCTCTGAGAACTTTACCATTCTGCTGTTTCACTATGATGGCCGGACAAGTGAATGGGATGAGTTTGAGTGGTCAAACAGGGCTATCCATGTGAGTGCTCAGAAGCAAACTAAATGGTAACTATTGTTATTCTCTCTTTTAATTCCTTAATTCTAATTGGGTGCCAAGTGTGTTTTTTTTTTTTTTTTTTTTTTTTTTTTCCTAAGGCCTAGTTCAGTCATGATTTAACATACACTCCATGAAATTGGTCCAAGGTGGTATGCCAAACGTTTTCTGCACCCCGATATTGTAGCGCCCTATGACTACATATTTATCTGGGATGAGGACCTTGGTGTGGAGAATTTTGATGCAGAGGAGTGAGTATTGAAAATTTAATTATCATGTTGAGAAATGAGAATGAAAATTCTGCTGCGTGAACTAGGATTTTAAGTTTTAATTCCTCAATATTGCAGATATATTAAACTGGTGAGGAAGCATGGGTTGGATATTTCACAGCCTGGTTTGGATTTGTCTAGTGGAATGACATGGCAGATGACTATGAAGAGAGATGACACTGAAGTTCACAAGTAAGAACAGAGCTTATTGTCCCCATCTGTATAACAATAAGCTGACCTCTCTTTAAATTTTCATTTTTACCTTTGCAGAGAAACTGAGGAAAGACCTGGATGGTGCGATGACCCGCATTTGCCACCATGTGCAGCGTATGTACACAATTTAAAATCCATTGTATTAATAGACGTGTGCTTTGCATCTGTCATAACCCTCTGCATATGATGTGAACATCTCATCAGTTAAACCTTTCAATGCACAGATTTGTTGAGATCATGGCAACCGTGTTTTCTCGAAATGCATGGCGTTGTGTTTGGCATATGATTCAGGTATGGAGCAATATCTTTATATGCTCCGGCTCCTGTCTCAGTAATTTTAAAATTATATACTACATATATATATATATGAAAACAAAAAATCTATAAGCATGTTTTTGTGGAGCCTTGAAAAATATTTGTCGTGTCATTATTGCAGAATGACTTAGTTCACGGGTGGGGTATTGATTTTGCTCTCAGGAAATGTGTAGCGGTTAGTGATCACGATTCTCTTCTACTAATCATTGCATGCTCCTACTTATTGTTATAAGTCTTGTCACATTCCCCTACATTTTTCTTCAAAACAGCATCCTGCTCATGAGCGAATAGGAGTTGTAGATGCTCAATGGATTGTTCACCAAACTGTTCCTTCACTTGGGAACCAGGTAATAAGACCATGCTTATTACTGCCACTGATAAATCTATGATATTGCAATGAAATGTTGATGCTATCTACTTTCAATAGGGTCAAGGAGATGACGGAAGGGCACCATGGGAAGGGGTAAGCAGAAGTTCTGTCCTTCGGTTTTCATTTATTTCCACAAACATTTACGAAGCATGGGTTGTTAAATTATATCAACTCTCTTGTCTCAGGTGAGGGATAGGTGTAGACAAGAATGGGGAATGTTTCAAGATCGCCTGGCTTCTGCAGAGACATCTTATTTTACGTCCAAGGGGATCACTCCGCCTAATTACACTCGTCTGGGGGATATCTAGTCATGGCAGCAGAAACTCTGGATAAACTACTGATCAACTGTTGTTTTTGTTCAACTATTGCAGTGGATAGCTTCAGAATAAGAAAATGCACCTACTGCTTCGTTGTTAATATTATTTGTTCTTCTTTTTTCAGGTTTCTACCTTACTTTCCTTTTACTTGCTCAGGCGTAGAATTGGAAAATTTTAGCATCTTCCCCACAGGCTCTGTTCACTTCTTTAGTACATGTGTTTATTTTGTTTAATTTTTTTTTTTAGGTAAGATACTCGAACAACCAAATCATACACAAGTAGTATTATGTCTTTCTTTCTCTCTCTCTCTCTTTCTGCCTACTGTGTAACTGTTTGTTTGGATTGATGGTGCTGCCATGGAAAGAAAAAGAAAATTATGTTTTTCATGGACTGTTGGAATGATAGTTGTGAAATTGTTAGCAGGCAAGTACCATTTTGCACATGGAGTGTGTGATATATTACAGGATTATACCATGGATGTGAAACATAGGGAAATGTATGGTAAATTGGTATTGCTCTTGTGAAAGTAGATTAGACTCCAGCTAAAAGTTGTGCCTACTTGAGAAAGTAATTAGAAAATTTTGTAAGAAAAATTATGTATTATTGTTGAAAAGTGTTACCAACGTTTTAAAAAAGATATATTTTTTTTGAATGTTCAAGTAAAGACGTACGCATTTATAATAGTGTTTGTCCTTAACATTGTTCATAAAATAAATCATGCTATTTGTTTAGTTTGTAAAGTGATAAACTAAAAAGTAGTACTCCCACGTTTCAAAATACATTTTTCAAAATATATTACTCTATTATGAAAAATGTGACTCATAAATGTGAGTCACAGTTTCTAAATCGATCAAATATTTTGGATGTGAGGGAGTAATCTACAAGTTATACAACTCTTCAAAAAAAAAAAACAAAAGCATGAGTATGCAAAATTGAGAATGATAATACACTGATTAAATGGAATCTGGTAAATAATATTTTATGTAACATTTAAATGGATCCAGTGTTTCACTCACTCATAAAATACTTTGAATTCCCGCTTTTTCAAAAATTTAGTGCTTTATATTGCTTGATTTCAATTTTGGGAGCTTCGTATCAATTTTATCTTTTCCCGCTCGGTGGAGATGGAAACAGCAGATTGGGAAAACGAAGACTGGGAGTTCGTTAACGACGATGGCTTCGTTTACAAGCGCAAGAAGCGCCGCCTCGACCCCACCACCACCTCCTCGGCTCCGCCGCCACCAGATCCGGCGGCTGAGGAGCGAAACCGACGGCAAAGGAAGAAAAGGGCGCTCGTGAAACTGAGAGAGAAGTATCAGAAAGAGATTGACCAGTGGGAACTTTTATCAAACACCGTGAAGGCAATCCAAGAAAAAGCTCAAAACCAACAACAGCAACAACGAGAACAGGCGCCGTCGTCGTCCCTTTCGGCCATCGTCTCGCCTTCTCCGTCGGCGCATTCGTCCGAGTCTGCATGCCGGAGATTAGTAGATGAGCTCCTTTTACGGGTAAATAGCTTGCATTCTTTAGTTCTAGGTTTTCTTTTTGAACTATCGGATCGGTTTTTCGGCTAAAACAAGAAGTATGTGAGATAGTTGTGTAAAGGGTTTTCATTCTAGGGCACTAAATTTGAAAATAAGAGTCAAGTATTTGGTTTATTTGCCCCTTTTTTCCCCTCAAATTTTCTCGGCAGCCAAACGAAGGAAAGGGTACTAATTTTGAAATTAAGATTAAAAAAATTACTGTAAATTATTTCTCCTTTTTTTTTTTTTCTTAAATTTTCTCGGCAGCCAAACGAAGCTAATCCAAAGCAGTAACTCCACCAATTGCAGCACAGAATTTTATATGCAATGAACGCCTGTTTAATTTATAAAATTATTTTAGTCTTTTGTTTTCAAGTTTGAGCTCAATCTTAAAAGAACCACAAGGAGAACCAACCATTTTCAACTTAGGCTGAGACCTTTAACTAGAGATTCAGGTGGGATTGGTTAGGTGAACAAGAGCTCACCGGACACTGGCTATCTCCCAAGAAAAGAATAATGTTATGGTCTCTCATTGGTACCATCTTGCTTGACAAGAAATTCACAAGCAAGGAATGCACGACCCAGTCAATTTTGCCCTCAAAGATGTGGTTTGCACATACACACATACATGTATTTCATTTTTATACATATAGGCATATACATATGCATACATATATGCGTATGTGTGAGATTTGTGCTAATTTAGTGTCTTCACTTTGCAGGTAGAAGCAGAGGAAGCAATTATTCAGAATATTTCAAATCTTTGTGATTCGGCCGAAGCCATTTGCAATGCACAAGAGGAGCCAATGATGCAATCGCTAATTGATCTTCCAATTTGGGCGTCGCCACGTGACCTCATGGCATCCTTGTGCGACGAGTAATAAAAATGAAAAGCTGAGTTCTTGGAGTAAGGATGTCAATTCAGGTCTTCTTCTATTGGTATGCCATAAATCCTTAACTGTTATGCATGAAGAAGACCTTTACTGTACTATATGTTGTTTTCTGTTATGTAGATTTCTCTTTATACAGAGATTAGAGGGTAAATTTTAAATTAGAACCATGATTGATCAGGACTTGTTTAGATGAATTAACAAGTTGATGAATGTGCAAAAAGTGCATTCTTTGAACACTAGGGTAAGAGATTTATCAGGCCGTTTCTCGGTGCAAAGGTAAAAGTTTGGATTGTAAAGAGTGAGAATGTGTATTTGAGAGTGAGAAAACCCACTCGGAAGCTTTGGTCTTTCTGCAGTTTTCCATATGAAAATCTTGCATAGGACTAGTATTAGTAATGGTCTGTTTTCTTAAGGTTGTGTTGCAAAATAGCTGTAGAAAGGATAGTTTCTGATTGAGTAACGAGGCAAAAATATTATTAATTAAATTCTTGCTAAATTTGTGATATTATTTCTGGTCTCTCTTTTGCCTTTATCTGCTTCAATGAACACTTCAAATATCATTTGCTCTTTGCAAACTTTTTGTCATTTTTTTCCCGGTAAATTACCTATTGACATTTAAGAGAGCAGAGAAAAGAAGAAACTTGTTACTTTATTTATTTATTTATTTTTTATTATTTTTTTTGAACTGTCACATTGCAATGCTTAAAATGTTCCTTGTCCATTATGCACAAGCTCAAAAAGGAATGTGGTTTAGGAGGAAACTAGCTTGGTCTTAATAGAAAATATTGCAGTAAATGCAATGGATGGCCTTGTCTTAGTCTGTTCAATCAGGGATACTTATATTTTCTGGAAGTGAGTTTTTTCCAAATCAGGTCTCGACTTCTTTGTTACACTACTAATTGAAGCTTTCCGGCCAAGTGTTGATTGATCTTGATTCTTCTGAAATTCAGCCAAGCTTTACCTTGTCAAAATGTCCAACTAAGCTTACTCTGTCCCGAACATAAAATCATGTCCTGTTTTCAGTTTTGCTGTTCTTTTCCATCTTTTAGAGGAGTGGTAAATGACAGACAAAACTTCTCTATGAGCAAGTGTAACGGAACTCGTAAGCTTATCCTTTCATTTCCTTCCTTTCCAGTTGCAATCTGTTCATTGTTTCACCCCAATTGATCTGTACCCCGGAATTGATTAATTATCAACTTAGTGATGAATCAAATTCCACAGTATAGAACTCAGAACAGCAAAAAGTAAAATGCAACGAGAGAGGAAGTAGGTTTGTCTCTCATTAGGCAATCGAAGTAACAATGTTTCATTGCATGCTGATGAGACCAGATGGCATTGCAATTTACATCAACAGCTAAAGAAGTGCTATAAATCTCATTGCCTGTTAAATATATCAATTTAACATTTTTAAACAGACATGGAGGGTTCAACTGTAACATTAAGTGTATTTTGTGAAAAAGGTTTATAGAGAGTAAGGACTAAGTTATAGATTCCACCTATTTCTTATGTTAGTTTTACAAAATGCAGAACAACATTAGCAGAACATATATGTAAGCGGTTGCGGCTTACAATGAGCTATTTTCAGGTTTCTGATGTCTCCTCCTCCTCCTTGTGCTGACTTGTGCTATTCAACACTTCACTGACTTGTGTGCTATTCATTTTTCTCTCTTTATATACATATATGTATAGGGTCAAGTGCAAAAAAATCCATGCTATATAAAAAATGTGCAAAAGATGTCTTGCTATTTAGTATGTGCATATATATACCTAACATTTGAAAATATGTGTAAATTGCCACCTAATATCTGTTGACGGTTGACCATCATTGACTAATTTTTTCTTTAATAAAAACCCCAAAATACTCTTAATGTACCCTTAAAAACTGAAATTAGTGTTTTTTAATTTGTATTGTCTTAAGGGCATTATAGATATTTCAGTCTTTAAAACGATGAAATATAGGTTTTTTGTTTTTTTTTTTTTTCCCTGAACACCAGTGGTTACCCTATATGTATATTTATATAGTTGTTTTGATATGATATCATTTCATCAAGCCCAAATCCAGCTGCTTGGCCTACTCCCTGGGCTCTCATACCAATCTGCGTTAATTGACCCACTGCCACTGTATTGGGCCATCCCATTTAACAATTAAACCAAGAATGGGCCCAACCAGCTTGGTTACTAACATACTATGTGATTCATCTCTCTCTCAAACACACACAAACACACACATTAAAGCGTAAGTAGACAACCATTTAACCCATCACACTGAGCGTAAGTTTTCAAAATCACCCCTCTATTGTTAACAGCCAATGTGTCTAAATTCACTTAAAAGTGTTATTTGGAAAAGTAAGAGTTTACGTGGACTATAATAAATATATGGGCACATGATGTGTTAGGATAAAAGAACGGTAAGAACTGAATGTAAACGTTTTAAGTGCTTTCAAATATGCATGGATCGTTAAGGCCCAACTCGAATGCACAGTTTGGTAGAAAGAAGAAAATTGGATGGAAGGGAGATAAGAAGTGACGGCGTGAGAGAGACAATCCCAATGATACTGTCTTTTCCTCTCTTCCTCTTTTTATTTGGTTGGACAGAAGAGAATGGAGGATAGATTTTTAATATTAAATTTATCTAATAATTATGAAGATTAACATTGTAATTTTAAAAAATTTATTTCATTCTCGCTTCTCTAGTTCTCTTCCATCCATATTTAATGGGATGAAAATTAATAATAACTCATACATCCTATTTTTTCTTTCCTCTCCTATCTATCAATCGAAGGAATTGTTTCTTTCATTCCAAAACGGACCACCAGTTTTGACCTAAACCAACTGGAAGGTAATTGAAGATCACAACTTCTTATTGCCCATTCATGTTACTTGTGCACCAAGTTTTTATGTCAATGACTATGATGACATGGATGGAAAGTATTACCATTTTAGGGTTTGATGTTTTACTTTGTTCATTGGATCCAGGTCAAGCCAACTCCCAACAATACAATGTACTACCACTTTTAAACTAACTAAAGGGGTTCCATGCAATATATATATATATATATATATATATATATATATATATATATATAATCGGACCATCAATAAATTTGGATACTTTATGTTTGTTTGACCAAAAAAAGGAAATTAGGAGACTGAAAAACTGTGGACTAATGGTGAGAGATGGTATAATGGGAGATGTTGTTAGCCATTGTCTCAACAACTCTAGAACTCTCGTATATTTTGCAATATGTATCACTTTAATTAAAAACACACTAGCAAATGAAATGAAACTAGCTAAAAATACAAAGATTGCCATGAGTTGGTTGGGGCATAAAAGTCCTAGCAGCTGGACCATATCGTCTAGGTGTCAATTATGTTGATGATGTCAGGTACATTCTAATTTTACTTGAGTATTATTTAGCAAGAACCCACATTGTTTGGCACAAATGGGTAAGGGCAAAAATACTCTTGTCTTGGTGCATCTGAATATATTCGGTATATAGTTAGGGTTTGTTTGACATGCACTTTGTTTTAGGTATCTTGTTTTTTTGCTAAAACAGAAACAATATTTTTGCTGTAGGAATGTTTTAAAAAAAAAATCAGAAGCACATTTGGGAACGATGTTTTGCCGTAGAAACTTAGACTCGTGTTGCACTACTGTTATGATTTTAAGCCATGAACAATTGTCAGAACAAGAAAAAACAATTTTTTGGTGTTTTGGTTTTGGGCCACTATTCACAAAGTGTTTTAACACTGTGTAAAATAAAATAAGATCACACCAAATATGTTTTTGTTGTTAAAATTGACACTGTAGCATTTCAAAAATAAAAACAACAAAAACAAAACGCATGCGACATGCCAAACGGGGCCTTAGTGTAAATAATTCGTTTAGGGTGTGTGAGTATTAATTAAGGAAAAAATTAAAATGAGTCTTAGCAAGTTGAAAATATAATTTTGACAAAATCGAATTTTTTACAAGAATATACTTATATATCATATGTGGTATGAATTCCTAGCTAGATAATGTTAAACTATAGAAACCTTATTTTCAACATAAGAAGTGTCAAATTTTCTTGTTTTCCACTTATTTTGTTTCTTTCATTTGTTGGTTTTTGGTTTTGGCACGTACCTGTCCAAGATAAGTCATTGCATTATAAACTTTAGAAAAATGATAATTTGGTGGTGGAAGTTATATAGGTACCTGTCGATTGTATTCCACGGCTGCTATGTATTGGGTCCGATATTTTGATTGAAATACCGAGCATAAATAGCATAATTAACTATAAACTTTAATGTTTGAGATGCAATATAACATTAATAGTAGGGGTGGCAATTCGTGTTAGCGGATGGTGTTCGTATCGTGTCAGAGCATTGGTATTATGTTATATAGGTCAACACGAATACGGCACGATTATTATTCGTGTTAAGAAATCCTGACATGAATATGCCACGATTATTACACGGATAACACGACACGACATGCGTAACCCTTTTAATAAATGAATCAAGACTTGACACGACACGTAATGACACAACAAAACACGTTTAAGTTATTTCTGACCCGAATACTACATGTTTATTCAACACGTTTAGCTAAACAGATCATTTCTACTACGAACACGACACGTTTATATGATATATTTAGTTAAATGGGTTATAATTGGATTAGTAGGTCAAATACGAATACGACATATTTAATTACCGTGTCAATTCGGGTCAACACGAACACTATTAAGCCAAACCAAAACCCACTTATTTAGTGTCGTGTCTGAGTCGTGTTAGCGTGTCGTGTCAAATATTGTCACCCTTAAATAACAATTAAAAAAATTATTATAATGTTTCAGAATCATTAATCTCGATCAATCACTAATTTGACACATAAATGTACAATAAAACTGACACATTTCAATGTGTGTCAACCAGTGTTTGGCATTGATTTGAAAACTATGTAATAATATCTCTTAATAGTGCTACCAAAAAGAACTATCCCTTTTCTAATTATTATTCATATCATACATTAGCCTTTTTCTTTTTCAAATTTATGGGTAAATATTGTGAATACATTTACCTGTAGTCTTTGTATAGTCAACCAATCCACACATGAAAGTGTCATTTTTTCTAAACCAATGGTTCACAAATGCGTACAAAGAATTGTGCCATGAGATTTCAGACCCACCACAACCATTAGTTTTCATTAATGTATAACATGGACTGGAAATTTGTAAAAAGTGAAATAGACAACCATGCCCTTCCAATTTTGGTAGGCAACTTTGTAAAGACTTGCAATACATAAGTGTGTGTGTGTGTGTGTGATTTGTAAAAAGTGAAATACACACACACACACTTATGTATTGCAAGTCTTTACAAAGTTGCCTACCAAAATTGGAAGGGCATGGTTGTCTATTTCACTTTTTACAAATTTCCACACACACACACACAGAGACATAAATGAAGATATCTCACACACACACACACACACACACACTTATGTATTGCAAG